TAAACTAATTTCAATTATAATACAGACTATAATCTAGGAAGAAATTACTTTATTCTCTCACTCTCTCTCTCCCTACCCTACAAGTCATATGTCCTCCTAATAAATTTGTAAGATTTTTTGACTAAGATATTCTTTTTAAAAAGAAAAGAAAAGAAACTAACATTTTCATCTCCCCTAGTAACACAGTTTTTTTTTCGAATAGTGACATAATTTAATAAAATTCTGAGATAAAGTAAAAAGAAAAAAGAAAACGAGAGAAAAAAGGTTTTACAATTTTTTTTGTTTAAGTTGTTTTTTTCTTTTGTAAAGAAAAATCTAATTAAAACACGAATTATTCAATATTCAATTTATCAATAATATTTTACTACTTTTATTTTATTGTTAATAAATATAAAATAATTAGTGATAAATAGCGAATGCTTTACAATAACAAAATTGTAGACAAGATCATATGATACAGTTTAATAAAAGTTTTTTAAACAATTGAATTTATTAGTTGATCTAAGCTAGACTATTAATGAAAACCTGGAAGCATTAGACAGCCGTTTCGTCCTAGTATGGAACTCTTCAGCCGTGTAAATATCTGCACCTGGGACCTGCAGTTTCGCGCGTAATCACCTAATCTCTAGACTATTAAGCCTGCATCTATAAACGTAGAAGATTTGTAGCTTAGGTGGATGATGACTTCTACCTAAAGTTTGTATTGATCATATTGTTTAGAAGAACGATGAAAGCTCCATTATTAAACCATTCAGCTCAGAGAAAAAAACTCCATCAAAAAGTTGTTAATGTTTAATTTCGATCGATTCATGATCTTACGAAACCTTTCACCCATTGTCGAAAGTGGATAATTGTATCCACTTGACATGGATTGTACTTCACTGGTCATAACTTCTTGCTAGAAACTTAGACGATCCACTAATCACCAATGAGTACATGATTATTAGTATGGGGAATTGCGGAGATGAATTCAACTCGAATTCAATTGTTAAAATATTACAATCTCTAATAATCTTTACACCTATGAGATTTTTGTTAGTTAAAAGCATTCATATATTTTTCTTATTTAAAGATTACATTCAAATTATTCTACAAAATAATGAAACCATTTGTTGTCTACTTACAGTAATAAAGGTCTGTTTTGTAAGCAATTATGAATAGTGGCTGGCAGTGGAATCCAGGTTGCGCGTTTCGTTCTATCTGGGACTCGTCAGCTGGATGTACCTGAATTTAAGTTCACCCCATTGCACAAGCAAGTGGATATCAGGACTCAGTAGCTAAGTGAATAGTGAGATGGCGTTTGAAGCGAATGGTACTGGGTTCGAGTCCCAGAGTGAACATCAACTCTGAGATGCAGGTACATCCAGTTGACGAGTCTCGAATAGGACGAAACGCGCGTCCTGGATTCCACTGCCAGCCACTATCCATCATTGCTTACAAAAAGTTTGTGAATTAAGGCAATATAGAGGCATACACACAGTATGCATATATGCCAATAACAGACTGATCAATTGCAGTTTTAAACCTCAATGAGAAGATACAAGCCAAGGAATATCAAGTGAATAAAAGACTGTTATTTATTTATTTTTCCTATAGTGATGAATTAATTTAAAGTGATTACATATGTAATCAAACATTATTACGTACCAAATAATTGTCTGTGGTAGGCTAAAATAATATAATATTTCCAAATGAATTCTTAGAAATTAAATTCCATGGTTTCATCTTTTTATTATTCACTGTTTATTTTGTTGGGTAAATTCATTTTACATCTGACGTAATTCGTATAATTTGTTTATATTTCAATGTTACATGTTATTGTAAGCTCGAAAAATAGAATTAGATTATGTTTATCAATCACAGTGATCATATTCATTTAAATAAACATATAAACATGGTGAATACATCAGTTAACCATAATAATAATAATAATAGTAATAGTAATAATAACAATAGTAATAATAATAGTAATAATCGATTTTCGTTGGTTTAATTTTACTGAAATCAAAGTCACTATAAGTTAGACAATCATTGAAAACCTAAAAGCACTGTATAGCTGTTTTGTTCTAGTATGGGACTTCTTAGATGTAGGTATCTATGGCTTCATCACCGTGGATTGAATACAGAACCTTCAGTCTTGTATGCAGACGTTTAACCTCTAGATGACCAAGTCATGGCTCAATTGAATACAAATTCAACTTCAATCAATCCATGTTATTATGCGACTGTTGTCCACTGTCTTCGGTGAGTATCTTCTCTACACTAGACTCGTTGGAGTTTTTATTGAGTTTCATAATATGAAACTACCATTTCAGTCCAGTGCTTTTAAGTTTCAATGGTGTTTTCCATAAACTTAGCATCCATTATCATTTTTTGAGGTTATACACGATCAGGCAGACTTATAGATGCTCTTCACTATAATACAAGTAAATCATGTTTCTCGGATAAAAATAAAATCAATCGTCTTACTAGTAACTAATACCAGTTTGTTTTAGATAAAATCGAATATATTTTACGCCTATTTCAGTAAAACAGTTAACAATAAAGCTATGCATTACAGAAGAATACTTCTTTAGGAATTCGCTACTCGATTGATCTACATTCACTGTAAATCATTAGATGTTTAAACACAGTAAAATTTCTAGATTAAAAAGTGAAATTGAATGAATGACAACTTCAAGTTTTTTTCCTAAGAGAGATAATATTAGTCATGTTCAACAGCCGATATTATAACTTACGAACACTTCGTCATTCAATAAACTTGATTACGATAGCTTGTAACATTTGTTTTTGTTTATTTTGAAATCTACTTATATAAAATCTTATATGAAATGTTATTAATACCAAACGTTTTAAACTATGTACATAATAGAGATCATGAACGAATCAATGTTAGACCACTATTAAAATCCTCGAAGTACCGGGTGGCAGTTTTGCCCTAGTATAGGATTCCTCGTCAGTGATCGTCCACGATCCTGCACTCAAGATTCGAACCCAGGACCTTATCTTTCGCGTGAAAACGCTTAACTTCTACACCACTGAGCCGAGACTTAACTTTGTTATTGTATAACCTCAACTAATCCACTAGTTACTGACTTTAAGAGGTAACTATCGGAGTTATAGTGAGGAAGCGTGACAAGTGGAGCTCAGTCGTGTCAGGTGTGAGACGGTTACTGTCCAAAGACAATCGAAGATGGCCGTGCATTATCGTAGATTGGTTGAAGTTAGGTGTTTACCCACAAGACAGAATATCATGGGTTCAAATCCTGCGTGTGGAAACGTGGATACGCACTGCCGAAGTGTCTCATACTATGGCAAAGTGACTGTCCAGTGCTCCCAGGTTTTTAATGGTAATCTAACAGTGATCGATTTATGATCTCGATTAAAACTCATCAATCTCTATAACCCTATACTGATGTCTATATAACAGTTTAATAAAGTTTACTACTTAGATATATTAAATTGCAAATTGATTCATACAAATTTAAACTCCAATCTTCTGAAGTTTACTGAAAGCATAGATATCAAGCAATAGTGATACATTTTTCTTTCCCATGGAAAATTATATTCACATTGTTATATCATTCTTTTTATCCCGAACTCTTTCGTATAGTTTAATTTCGTCATTTTCGAAGTTTCTTTTGAAAAACTTGTTTATTTCTAATTGGTTAACATTACCTTTTGTTATTCTTTACTAACATTAACTTATATTCAGTTACTTCGTTACGTCATCAACTCTAATGATTAGTTATTAGGTTGATGCTCTAGAACTTTCTCTATGATACTGTATTTATCTGAAGTAATATTTCTTTAAAATTTCATTAATATTATCGATGTCTTTACTCCTTTATAAAAATGTACAGTCCCTTTTAATTACTTTCAGTCTCATAAAAATATGTGAATTTCTATGTAAATTTTGATTTTAAAATATTGTATAGATTAATAGTAGTCGATGATAATCTAACGAAATAAGATGAATTCATGTAAGGCCGCCTGCTTGAGCATCTGGGCTACCTGTTCCTGTCATCTAAATATTTCAACAAGTTATCTATTTTTGTTTGTTTTAATATATCATTATGTATATTAATCGCATAACCTATCCTGGTGCATTTCTGAAAAGTGTATAACTTTTCGTTGTCAAAGTTACAAAAAGACCAATAAGAGATAATGTGGTCCTCTGGCAATATGCAGAGAAAAGAATATACATTATTCAGATGTTCATTTACTGGAATGCTCACATCTAACCGGTGATCACTCAGTATTTATCGTCAGGATCGACCAAGAACTAAGAAATGGAAACTTGTTGAAATACTTTGTGCTACAAATTCTATATTGTACCAAAAATATAATATTGATTAATGCTTATAATAATAATAATTCTGCTCAAATTTTTATATACAAGGTAAAGAGGAAGGCCGAAGAACACCCGACATCGGGAAATGGAAGCAGATATGAAAAGAATAAATAGCAACTGGAAACAACAGGAAAGGATTACTCAGGACAGGGTTGGATGAACAGTACTAGTGGGTGGCCTATGCTCCCCAATGAGGGATAAGTAAGTACTTCAAGATAAACTTATTTTAACCAATCAATAAACAATAGTCTTGGTGTTATCATTGTTGTTTTTTTAAAAAGAAACGGATGATCGTGAGAATTAAAATTCCCTAGAAAAATATTAATGATTGTATGTTCAACGGATATATTTTGAAATACGTTCATATTTACTTCTAATCAGTCAACTAAAAATACTTTTTTTAGAAAAATGATCAAGTACCCTCCTAATCTGTTATAAAAAAAGGAAAATATAAAAGGTCAGATAAGGTAAAATGAATTTATTGTACAAGATATAGATAACCCATTATGTCTGTTGACTGGAAGTATTGATGGCTAATAATAATAATAATAATAATAATAATAATAATAATAATAGTAATAATTGTTATTATTATAGAACAGACATCGTGAACATGAACAAGTCAATTTACACAAACTAAATTTACCGAAAATTAAATCCTGAAGCTATTTTAGCATTCGCATCATCTAATCGTCGAAATGAATAAGTTGGATTACAATATTGAACATCCCAATCAAGATCACATTTCCAATCGATATCAATCCCGATTACACCCCCCTGTTATTAGAAAAATTTACAGTGGATATAATGAGTATTGTTGGTAATTTATGTAAAATAGATATATTATCATAGTTTACATGAAGTGTTAAAGAAAATATCATTCAGAACTAGAAAAAGATAAGTGTAGGCGTAAAGAAACTTGGCAGCTTCATAGATGATAACTATAGAATAAAGAAACAATTGTTGTTCAGTTGGATTTTTTGTCAGTATTATCCTTCTGTCTATAATAACTCTGAAGAGCAGTTCGCTTTGTGCAATAGTTGCTTAGATCTGTTTGTTTTTAATCAAATGTTCTGTGAGGAACTTTAATCAATATAAGCAGAAATAGATCGTGGCTAGCAGTGGAATCCATGACGCGCATCCTAGCAATATCAGGGAAATCTGCCCAGGATGCACCTATGTCAATAAGAAACTGATCACTTTCAGTCCTAAACATCAATGAGAAGATTCAAACAGCCAATACAAAATGAACTAAACTTCAATTAATGTTCATTCGAACCAATGTAATCACAGATAGCTTCGATTTCTTTGTCGTAATAATAGTAGATTTGCTGTATGATTCATTTATTCAAACAATCATCTGTTACTGATACAATGCTCTAAGATTAGGCCTAACACTCAGGTCTGTATTGAGTGAAGAATGAATGACCTACAAATCTGGTTAGTGATTATATCTCTAAGTAATAATCATTTGGGGAGGGGGACCAAGTCAATGTTACGGTCTTATCAGTAGCCATCAGTTAGTCACACACCATTATCATTATATTCATCTATTTATTAACAAGCGAAAATTTTGTTTAAATCAAATAACAGATAACCTATCTCTATAACAATTATATTACTTACATAAATTACTCGATAAAATGCTACATTAGTAAATACTTTTCTTTCTATTTGTTACCAGTTAGAATTTGAAAATAAAATTTCACAAGTGAAATGAATAAAAAAAAGGTTGTAATGATTAGTAAATTGGAAATTAGTATCTAATTAATTCCATTTCTTACATAAATCATTATTTATTCAAATTTACATCTATCAAAAAAGAGATAACTTTAATAAATATTTGAAATCTCACAACAGACCCCGTTGATCTCCACTGGTCACTGCTTCTCACTAGAACTCCAGGAAATACCTCTTAGAGACCGTCACTAACGAGCATATGTTGATTAGTCTCAGAAGGGATGTTGTGGATATTATAGTAATTTTAATAGTTGAATTCATAAGTCAAATGAAGCTAGACCACGATGAAAAACCTAGAAACACTGGACGGTCGTTACGTCATGGAATGGGACTTCTCAGCTGTGGGCATACACGATCCCACCTGGTGTGATTCGAAGCCAGGATCTGTTGGTCTCGCGCGTGAACGCATAACCTCTAGACCACTGAGTAGGTTGGCATCCAACGGTGTTAATGTCTAACTTCAACCAAAAATTATCGATGATTGATAAAAATAGAGTTTATTCCTCTGTAATCTTCGTCTATGTATTGATTCGCTTTTAACTCATTAGATTTAGTAAACGCATAGAAGAAATAGCAGAGATTCTTCACTATTGCTCTAGCTCCAATTGCTTCATGAATCCAACTATTAAAATTACAATAATATCCACTATACCCCTTCTGATATGAATCAACATATGCTCACTAGTGACAGTCTTCAAGATGTATTTCCTGGAGTTCTAGTGAGAAGCAGTGACCAGTGGAGATCAACGGGGTCTGTTATGAGATGGTAACTCATTGAAAATAATGATGGATGTGTCACTCGATTTTGTGGATTGGTTGAAGTTAGACATTAAAGCAGTTGGATGGCGACCGACTCAGTGATCTAGAGGTTAGGCGTCCGCGAGTGAGACCGATAGTTCCTGGGTTCGAATCTCGCCAGGGGGGATCATGTATGCGCTAACTGGATCATGGAAGATCATTGCTAAGGAGTCGCAAAATAGGACGAAACGGCCGTCCAGTGTTCCCAGTTTTTCCATGATGTTCTTGCTTCAACTGACTCGTAATCTCAACCATTTAAATTACTATAATATCCACAAAACGCAATCTAGTACAAATATTTAAAATATTGAATTTGTCACACAGATAACTTGTTAAAATCATTTTCAGGGAAATGATTAAAAAATCTGATGATTATCCCAGTTGTCTACTTGAATGTAAGTAATTTAATAGTCAGTATTGCTTCATTTTGAAACATTGTTCAATGATTAGAATAATAGTTTAAAATGCTTATCATCTTTGTTACCCTTGTTCAATCCAATCAATTCGGAACTATATCTTAAATATGATTATGCTATCTATAATTATTGATTTTCTTCTGACACGTTGATTGATTTCTTCTCTTCTTAACATTGTGTTTCCTTATTACATCTAACTGATATCGAGTTATACATAACGATGATTATTTATTTTATGAAGAAATATATTCTGATATCTTCGTAAAGTTGATCAAATGAGTTAAGATATTCTTCAAGATGAAGTTATGAAATCGTGGAAGAGAAACTCGAAAAAACAACTAGATTCATAAATACATTTTGATACAATGAAGAGTAATTGAGTAATTTATTTTGAGGTGGAGGTGGGGGTGGGTAGAATATATTTGTTTCGATAATTAAAATAATTTTTTACTATTTGAATTCATTAATTGATTTAGGCTAGACCACCATTGAAAACCTGGAAATGCTGTATGGTCATTCCGCCATAATATGGGACTGCTCAACAGTGCGCATACAAAATGCCGCACGCAGTACTCCAACCCAACACTTTTTGTATCGCGTGCAGACACTTGACCTCTAGACCAATCCAACGGTGTTAATGTGTAACTTCAATCAGTCCACTTTTTTTTCACAACCGTCCATCATTGTTTTCAGAGAGTAACTGCCGAACAACAGACAGTTAAACTCTATTAGTCACAGCATCTTACTAGAACTTCAGGAAATCTATCTTGAAACTGGCCACTAGTGATTTGGTTTAAATCCCGTGTGTGGGGTCGTCAATAAGTACTATTGAGGAGTCCCATACTGAAACGAAACGGCCGTTTACTGCTTTCAGATTTTTAACGATGATCTAGCTTAAATCGACTCATGAATTCACCTATTAAAAAACTACTATGATCTTCAAAAACCCTCATTCTGATAAAGTGTTTTTCCTTACAAATCATCAGGGTAGACTAGTGTATTATTTATTCTGTGTTTTGATCTTAGGATAAAAAAAGACGTTATACTTTCTTTGTGGTCAACATTTGAAAACTTTCAATGGAGTAATATAGTAATAAAGTATACCTTTATTTTTTGACCACATATAGAAAAGATTGATCTTATCGGATTGTTTAAATCAATATTTAAACGAATAAGTGTCATGGTGTAAACAAAATCATTGTTTCAAATGTTTCTAACTAATTTTGTGTGAGTACAATGGAACATTTAAACTTCGCTTATTTTTAGAAGATTTTATATTTTACGAATAATTGATTTATAGATGAATACATGAGTCAGTTGAAGCTAGATCACCACGGAAAACCTAGAAGCACTGGATGGCCATTTGTCCTATTGTGCGACTCCTCAGCAGTGTACATCTATCATATCGCCCTGCGGGATTCAAACCTAGGACTTATTGGTTTCGTATGCGAACGCTTAATCACTAGACCAACAACGGTATTAATGTTTAATTTCTTTTCATCCACTAAATTGAGCCACTGTCCACCATTGTCTTTTCAGTAAGTTACTATCTTACAACAGTTGACTTATGAATTCGACTATAAAATTACTAAAATCTCGACAAAACCCCCCTTCTGATAATACTTTATTTACTCAGACAGGAAGTAACAATCAGATTTGATAATACGTTAGTAATAATAATAATAATTACTATTATTATTATACAGACTAATCGGAATTGTATTTTGTCAAATGAAAGTTTTATATTAAGACTAAATACTGAAAAGAATGATTTCAAATGAATAATCATATCAATGTATGGTATTTCTTTGATTATGCATATTTTATATAGATTAGTTGATATCATGTAAATAGTAATACTGATTAGATTCTGGAGCATTAATTATAGGGTAATAAATATCATTGGATTATTCGATATTATACAAAACAATAATTATAGTTAAATGCTGACTTCCTGTTGGTAAGTATTTAATTTTAATTCATATTAGTAGTATTGTAATAAGTAGTATAATCGGTAGGTTATATATATTTATATATTTATATTATTGAATTTAATTATTTTATTGAATGTTCAATTTTCTGTAGAACAATTGGTTTAATTATAAATATAATATTTCATAACTTAATGAATTTTTTAATTGGCGGTTTATTATTGTTTGATGGTTTCATGTACTCATTTTCAACGCTATTACTATTCTCTAGCGGATTCATAATAATGAAAGCTAATCGGATTCAATAAAGTTTAATCTTTGAAAAGTATAACTCCATTTATAGTTCTTCTACAGTTATTGTTGATCTCAAGTTTGGGTAAAGGAGAAGGATCAGGCATAGGAGTCGGCAACCCAATCCCGTAGAAAAAAATCTTGCTAAACCAAAACAACAAAAAAACGTCAACCAGATGAAACAAGTTAAACCATTTAAACTTTGCCTTGGTAGTTGAAAGAAGATAGTAGTTTGAAAAGTATATTGGAAAAAAAATGGACAGATTAATTTTATTTTTAGAAAAAATATCGTTTTATATAGATGTTGTCACAATGAATACCTACATATTAACATTGCATCTATGATGCACTGATGACTTTTGAAGTCAGGTATGAAGATAATAATGAATAGATCACTTGAATTTTGAAACATAACGTTGTTCAGCTTTGAACAATAAAAAACGATAATTTAAAGTCAGCCATTTTAATATATATATATATATATATATATATATATATCAGAAAGGGTTTTGTGGACATTTAGTAATTTTAATAGTTCAATTCATGAGCCAACTGAAGCTAGATCACCATGGAAAACCTAGAAACACTGGACGGCTGTTTC